AAGGTGCAGTGGGCTGAGAGTCTCAGCCTGAGAGAAGGAAGACACACAAATGGGTGAGAAATGTGTAGTGGGTCCCCGATGCCCCCGGACATAGAGCACGCGCGCCCTCCTGAGCATAGAGCATGTGCGTGCCGGAGCCCCTATAGCAGCCGGCCGCTATCCCGCTTACATCAGGAAAAGTGTCAGTACTTTTTCTTGTCTTTCAGTACTTTTTTCATGACTTTTTTGTCTTTCTTGTCTTTTTTAAAAGACAAAAGACAAAAAAGACAAGAAAAAGTACTAAAAGACAAGAAAAAGTACTGACACTTTTCCTGATGCGGTAGATGTCAGGGCCATGCCCGGACAGCGGATATGTGGGGTTTGACAGGAATACCCTGCTCCTGGGGCAGAAGTTGCCAGCGAAGGCGGCGCCCGGCTGGACTAAACCTTTCGAACGCATGTCTTCGAAGGCTGCACGTGACGTGATAACAAGGGCGATCCGCACGAATTGAGTGGCAAAATGGTGGGAGGTGTGCCCAGAGCTCTTCGCTGCTGCTATTATTCATCAGACGCCGCTGGGGGTAGGGTGTTGATACTTTGCATCCTATTGCTAAGGTGGAGGATGTGGCGTTTGAGCGCGCTGGGAGGTCGTGGCCAGTGGGGTGTTAAGCCGTGCAGTAAAAGACACCTAAGTTCAACATGTGGCGGCGAAGTTGAACAATGGGCCGCTCCGGTCCGAGCGTGACGCGTGACCCACTACAGTAACTTACTCTCGCGTTGGTTACTAAGTCCTCTCAATTTCCCGCCTTTGTCTTCAATTTCCCGCCTTTGTCTCAAGCTGTCCCCCCACCACTTAACGGATCGGAGGAATCGCACTCATCCTCCACTCGTGCTCCACAACGAGACTCTGCCACACCGTCTGCTGAAGCAACACCCGCTGGTGTGAGGGACGCTTTCTGTCTCACTGAACCCGAACCCGCTTGGCCACACGACTCACCCAAAGCCGCACCAAGTTGTACAATTCGCACATTTCTCCGTCAAGGAGTCCCTAAGATCGGAGCGACTCGCGGCAGCTGCCGATACATCTAGAGATATGCAGCCCCAATGCGCTCTCTCAGAAGGTCATTTCTTTTTTATTTTATTTTTAAAAAACCGGGTTTTTCTCCTTACAGTACGTCACGACAGAATACCTCCTTCACCCCGTCTTCTAGTCATGCAACGAAAAATGCCAAAGTTGTCATCATTGCCCTTGGCTCCCTCCACCGCCTCATTGCCTTCATCAGGAAAAGTGTCAGTACTTTTTCTTGTCTTTCAGTACTTTTTCTTGTCTTTTTTGTCTTTTGTCTTTTAAAAAAGACAAAAAAGACAAAAAAGTCATGAAAAAAGTACTAAAAGACAAGAAAAAGTACTGACACTTTTCCTGATGTTGCGCGCCGTCTCCCTCTCTGCAATCTCCTCTCCCTCGTCACCGACTTCCCCACCATTCACAGCAGACTACTCGCAAACGTACGTGCTTTCGTTCTGTGCTCCCTCTTCTCTTCCTTGACGGATGGATTGACAGGCATACACTGTGAAATAGGCCCTCCTTCTGTGTTTCAAGCTGCATGAATCTAGGACAGCTGTGGTGTCGTCAACGGCGGCGGCGACGCTGCGCCAATTGGTCACTGGGCCATGTTCGTCGTCGAAAAGGTCATAGCCTCGTAGGGGAAGATCGCCGCATGCTGCTCGCCAATTAGCTTGAATCGATGACTCTTCCGGACGGGACGACACAAGCGCTCGGTCCCGCCGTGCGCGACGCGTTTGCTATCTTCGAGGACCTCAGTCTGTTGGGTAACGGAAAGCGTCCGCAATTCCTACAACTCGAGTACCTCCACAAGACATTTTCTCTTGAGCTGATCGAGAGCGTACTCGCGAACTACCACGAACTCTTCCGCAAGGTGTGTCTCTCCTCCCCTTTTCCCATCCGAGACCTGTATGTCAGCAGCTGTCCTCAAATCACTCTCATGTTCACAGCATTCCGAGCTCGTACTCTTATTACAACACTACCTCTTCCCTCTGCTCCTCAAAACGCTCTTTGAGCGCTCCGCTTTCCCGCTTGCCCTCCGCGGCACCCGTGTCGTCTTCCTCAGGCTCTTGCTCAAGCAATTCTCCTCCGAGCTCGAGGCGGAGGCCGAAGTCATACTCACACTACTCATCAAACTTATCAGTGGCGAGACTGACACCTGTAAGCCTCAGCCTGGGTGGATGAGGGTGCTCGCGATGGAGATCATGCGCGGGTAAGGCTCCCCTCTATTTCTCATTTCTGGCACACTACTGGCTCGTCCGGCGCCTCTCAGCTCTCAGTCGTCATCCTCCGAGTCCGACTCGACTCATTCCTCCCGGCGGACGAAACAGTCTCAGTCTCAGCCTCAGCCGCAGCCGCGACAGCGTACGACTAGCAAGACATCGAGACGATCCCGCCAATCTTCACGCCGGGAAACAGAGCTCAGGCTCATCCTTGACTTTCCACTACCACCGACATTTATCCCTACTCCGCCAACAACCAGGACGCCTCCACCTTCTCGACCTCCTGCCGAAGTAGCTCCCGTCAACGACGACGAATCTATATTTCACGATAACGATCCCTTTCTTGCCAAGCCCATTCGCGATCAGGACGCCGTGGCAGAAGTGGCATCACAGAGTATTGCAGAGACGGGTGCACCACGCGGGGACTCTTCAGCATCATTTTACACAGCCCATTCTCAATCATCTTCACCCGTACCATCCTCTCACATCCTCCCACCCCCGAGTCTACATCCATCTGAACAACAGCAGCAACCTTCTCTCTCACCGTTACAGCTTCCCTTCCCTGACCCCTCACTTTCATCCTCACCACAACTATCCCATAGTGCGACACTATCTACCTCATGTTGCTCTGTCAGAACTCTGACCAAAGCCAGTGCCACGTTAAAGCGATTAGGAAATCGGACATGGGAGACCCCTCTCACGTCCTTTCGAGCCCCGAGGCCGCGGAGAGCGACACGTGTCAAGCACGTTTCCCTCGAGCACCCATTCAAACCACCGAGCACCGTCGTGCCGCTCTGAAGGCTCCCGGAATTCTTCCTTGTCATTCCGTGAACCAGCCCATGATGACTGGTATCAAGCCCATCGACGCAATGGTGCCCATCGGTCGCGGCCAGCGTGAGCTTATCATCGGTGACCGTCAGACAGGCAAAACTACTGTTGCCATTGACACCATCCTCAACCAGAGGCGCTGGAACGAGGGTAAGGATGAGGAAAAGAAGCTCTATTGTGTCTACGTCGCCGTTGGCCAGAAGCGCTCTACCATTGCGCAGCTTGTCAAGACTCTCGAGGAGAACGATGCTATGAAGTACTCTATCATCGTTGCTGCTACTGCTTCGGAGGCTGCTCCCTTGCAATATTTTGCTCCTTTCTCGGGTTGCGTAATGGGCGAATGGTTCTGCGACAATGGTAAACACGGTAAGTGCACAAATGTTTTGCGCCAGGACTTCGCATTTATTTCGGCCTTGGTGGCTCTCATCATTGGTAAGTGATTGTGCCACCTCATTTCTTTTCCGGGGCACTTGCTGATGCAATTCCAGTAGATTCACAGTGAGTTTATGCAAGCGACAAGGACCCTAAGCACATGCCCCAAACGTGCTCACTATGCCATTGTACAATTGTCCGAAGAACGGGTCAACGCTTTGATTCCGGCAACATCACCAACAGCGGCCTTGTGGTCTCCCCTGCAAACATAGACCTTGCCAACTCCGACTCCCTCAAGCTCGCGCGCACGATTCGGCGACCCACCCACTTAGCCACGGTCCCGACGAGCATTGCACCGCTCTACCGATCACCCCACGCTCCATGTCGAAGATCGTATCACTGAGCGATCTACGACAACTTGTGCATCGCATGGAAGCTCCTCCGCCTCCCTTGCCCGCCTCGTTATCCCTGCGGACAAACGAAAACGTGCCTGGAAGTGGTGGCGATGGTGCCACCGGTCCTGGTACATAACTAGCTCATTTAGCTAGGTGTGTTTCTCAACTGTTAAATTGCATTTGCCGTGCAGAATTTCCATCCGTGATTCCGTGCCCTACCATTGTGTGCTTCTAAGAACTACCAATCCGATGTAGTGAACTTTTGTAAGTTAGGTTTACTTTTATAAGTCAGATTGTCTTTCGAAAGTTATTCTGTCTTTTCCACTGTCTTTAAAAAGACAATTTGTCTTTTAAAAGTAAAATGTTGTCTTTAAAAGTAAACGGACATGCCTTTGACTTCTTTCAAAAGACAATTTGTCTTTGTCTTTTTTTTGTCTTTTTTTGTCTTTTTTGTCTTTTTTGTCTTTTAAAAGACCGAAAAAAGTACCGACACTTTTCCTGATGTAGATGGCGCTAAGGAAGGGGTATGGGTGAGATCTTTCCTTGCTGCCAGCTTCTTCTGACCAGCTCTGGCCTTCGCCTTTGACACCTTGGCACCACCATCCAACTCCTTCTCCTTCGGCCTCTCCTCCTCAGTGTCTGGTGATGGTAACCTGCCAATCACCTTCCTGATGGCCTTAACAATTAACCTGGCCCTTTTGTCACCAAGGAGAGACTGTTGAAGGAATTCTGGGCAAGATATCATATGGGTCAGGGGACAGGCAGCCAAGGAACTGTGGCCTGTTGCTGTTATTTGCTGCAGAACTCTGTTCCTCTGCGCCAGCTGTCTATTTGAAGAGACAAGGACGCTTGGATGGGGGTGGCTCATTATCACTGGCTTAGTCATTGGACAAAAAAGAGAGAAGATTGGCAAGATCTTGCTCTTAGGCCTTGATGAATTTAAGTATAGGCAGTTTGGCCTTTGTCTTTATAAAGTCTAGACCAATGACCATCATTCAGGTAAGGGAGGAATTCCTTGCAGATTGCCTGTAAATTTAATTGTTAAAAGCCTAAAGGGCTGTCTTTCACGTAGAGATGTCTTATGAAGGTCAGAGGCATTACTATGATTATATGAGACACAATCCAGTTTATTATAGCTGTGGCCAGGTAGCTCAGTGGTTAAAGTGCCTGGCATATACTGTATTAAGGGGAGCTGGGTTCAAATCCCAACATAATCATTTTTCTCGTCACACTCTTTTCTTGTCACAATAGGCTGGTCGGCCGATCGACGGGTGGTCCCACTTCCACGACCATTTGTACATGTCGGGGGAACCACATGTGCGAGGATTTGTGACTGAAGGGGCTGGGTTCAAATCCCAACATGGTCATTTTTCTAGTTGCAATAGGCCGGTCGGCCGTCTGTCCGGTGGTCCACTTCTACGACCATTTGTACGAATCCGGGGAACCTGTTGTGCGACCATTTTGGACTGAATGGTTTTGCACATGGCTTAGGCCTTTGACACGGCTGACTTCTGTCCGAGCGTATTCCGACTCGGAGTCCTTGCTTTCTCAACACACTCGGCAGTCACTTGTAGACAGTTCCGTACTTCAATTCTGTCACTACTTCGTCCTTCGCACAAGAGCCAGACCGCCCACTCTCATTCAAACTCACTCCCCTGGGTAAGTAACACTTCCGGTCTCAAGCACAACTTCTACACGCTAATGACTTCTTCAGCAGGTCGGACACTATAAGTTACTTCACGTGCTTGAGAGCGGGTGGCCTGACATGATCTGTGTGAACATCTGCAGCGCCGCCGCGCCCCGGGGCACGCTCCGCCACAGGTACGCGGGAACTTCATGTCCAGCCCCGAAAACTCGTAGATATGAGAACGTGCCCGCGTTCTTGTACAGACCCGCAGGCTTGCCGTCGACGTTGTAGGTTGAGAAGTTCTGCAACGCGTACAGCGGCGAGTACACCGTATTCAAGGAGGCAACCTGCGCATGCAGTGACGGGATCAGCGTGAGGGCCAGAAGAAGGGCGTTAGGACAAAACATGACGCGCGCACCATAGCCTCAACGCCCATATAATTGCAAATATAATCTGCGTCACCGTCATAGATGACGGTGCGCACGCCAGCGTTGATGACTAATTCGAGGTTTGAGCTCGAAGAGCGCATCCAGTCTCCGGTCGTGGCAAACAGGTTGTACACGCCGAGATTGGTCTCAACCCATGTAGACTGTGAGCCAATCTTGGACGTCACTGCTGGATCGTTAAGATATGGCTCAAGCTTGGGTGGGTATGAATCAGGATTCGCCGTGGGCACGTAATATACATCCCAGATCCCTGAAAGTGCGTAGAGGATGAGCATGTTGCAGAAGGACTGGGCTGCGGAGCAGACCGCGTTGCTTCCCCCATTATTACACGAGATAATCTACGCCTTTGAATACACGAAAAATCACTCGGGAAAGGGAAAGGCTGACCTGATCCCTGCAACCACCCGCCTGCGACCAGGCGGTATTGGCGGACGCGATTACTGAAGAATTCACTAGAGGGTGATATGGATTCGACTGAGCATATTGAATGTAGCCAGGGTATTGCGAAAGTGGGTCCTAATTCCAATCGTTAGCAGCACGTCAGCCAGCGGGGCATCCCTGAGCGTCATACTGTGAGACCATTGCCAATTCCAAGCACCGTCAGGTTGATAGGTATGCCCTTCAATGTACCGAACCGGATTGCAGCGTTCTGCTGCAATAAATACCTACAGGCGCTCACAGTTAACGGTATAAACACAGCAACGTAATAGGACTCACGCTGCAAATGTAGGGACCATAGTGTCCGCCATATGATTCCGTCCAGATTCCGAAATTTCGATTGGCGTACTTGCTGAATCGAGGATCCGCGAACCATATTTGTAGGAACTGCCATATATCGACAGCGGCTTGCTGAGACGTACCGACGTTTTCGGCTCCGTACGAATAGCCAGTTCCGACAGGCTGGTCGATGAATAGTCTGGGTCACTATTTAGTAAACCAAACATGGAGCTGGGGATAATGGAAGCATACACGTTCGCCACGTTAGTCCAAGACATCGGATTTAGATCAACTCCAGTGCTCTGGTTGTTAATACGGCAAGGACCAAGCTCCTGAAACAAGCCAACCATGCTGGAACTTCCGGGCTAATGTATTCCCCTGAACATTGCAAAATCGGTTAGCGGACTGAGTGATCACTCACGCCCCCATTGAACCACGTGATGAGTGGTGCCGCGTTAGGATTTCTGCGTGCGGCGAAGAACCAGAACCTGGCGGTGATGCACAGATTTAAAAAAAAAAAAAAAAAGAGAAAACACCCAAATTTGAGTACAAACCAGATGCTCTTATTCGCATTCACGTCACCATATCCTGAAGCCTGATAGATGCCCTGGGTAGTTTCTGCCCAAACTGTCAATATGACGGGAGACGCGTCATAAACAGAATAAACCCACCGCATACGCCAGAATTCTCCACTACACCACGAAGCTTTCCTGGGCTTGGTCCCAGGGCCGGAGCGTTGTTCGAAAAGGGCCCTTTCGGGATTTCAAAATTACAAGCGTCGGGGAAGGGAACACCTACCGATGACCCCATCAACCACAGGGATTTGCTTGCCCCTAATGGGCACGGAAAGAGCGTATATCGTAATGAGCACAGAATGCAGAAGCATTTCGAGTGAGGAACAAAAGACTCACCAAAACCATGTGCTTTATATTGAAACCAACTGTTCCCCGCCGGTCCAGTCGTCGGGAACGAGCTGAACAATAGCCCCCTCGTTTTTTCTCATGAGGTGCGTTTACTGCTGCCCATACATGGAGGGTCCACAGGGGTACAATCCGACAGCTACTAATTCATTTCAAGTGGGCGGTTGATGGGTAGTAACGGACACGCGGATTGACGTTGTCCTGAAAGGCGTACAGTAATGCGGATCTTGTGCAATCTGCCAGTGGTATGCGATCCAGAAGCGAGTCGACCACGAGTGCTGCATATGTCGATGTAGATCTTGAGAGGGCGGAAAGAAGAGGTGATTTCAGCGCGCCTTTGCTCGTGTCTTGGCTAGTTCGTGGTACCGTACTGTTCTGGTAGTTGGAATGGAAATGAAACACTTGGCAATCTCACGTGATGCCAAGATGAGCCGTGAGTCGGCCCGTGACCGAGTGATCACTATCACTTGCTTGACACGAACATGATGAATCCTGGTGTGTAGCAAGTCTGTAGTGCCAAGTATCACAGTAAGTAGACCTCGAGTTGCAAGTCTGGCACTAGCACTGAGACTGAGTTCAACCATGAGACCGGTGGTGATTAATAATGCAGACCAATGATGCCACTTCGTCGAGGCTCACACCAGTCAGTGTCACGCTTGTCGGTCGATCAATTTGTGATGGCTCTCTTCGGCCGCGCTCAGTTGTCAATCAGGATTCTAGGGCGTACTATAACAAGTAGTAGGTTCAGGTTCGAGTTGTCGAGCCCGCGCCTGCATTAATGCATTCCAGTAACGGCCGCCTCCTTCTCCTTTCCTTCACTCGGTGAGTCAGAGTTTATGACGCGCCCAGAGGCTCAAGTTGACATTTCTATCGTCTTATCAGATAGTTCGGTGATAACTCTGGGCGCATCGGACTTGTTCCTTATATTTCATTAACTGGCTCTTTGCTCTTTGCTGTTGGCACGCATTTAAGACTGCGGCATCTTATGGTCTGCCCTTCCAAGAGTCTCCGAACCTCTAAAGGTTTGCGGGGCTTTGCGGCGTGAACTAGGCACCCTCCTTGGGTTTCTTTCATTCCGATGCGCAAAACACTGAAGAGCTACTTATACATGTCCTTTCGGATGCCAGTATCTTGCATTCATACTCCCAATAACTACAGTACGACTCCTTGCCGAAAGGGTGTCTTTTGTTTCATCATATTGGTTACGTAACTAATTCAAAGGGCCGTTCAGACGCTACGTTATCCACGATGATTCACACAAAGTCTGTAACGATAGGGTGCACCTTTTCTCATTTTTTTCTATTATCTCGAATGCCGTCAACACACTGCAACATTAAGTTATGACCAATGACTGGTAGGCATATTTTCAGTCGTGACGTGACAGATCATTTTGGAAGCTCGGTAGATATACCGTCAGTAGGGCTGACCAATGGCAGTGGAGGCACACTTTCATGAGTGGCGCCCTCGTTGGCCGTCTGTCGGAGACGTCTTGCTTTACCGGCGGCACTCTCAAATCCAAATACTCGCAGGCGACCCTCGCGCCACTTGAGGACCACTAGCGTGACGATGGCGGCCAACCAGTAGAAGACATAGGATAGCACAGTGCCAACTGCGCGAAATAAGTAGAGGCAGACGATGTGGAAAAGAGCTTACTCGTTGCGCTGTTTGTCCATCCTGTGAGAGCACCGAAGATTAACCAACCATTACCATCTATGTTATTCTCGGGGTTGCAGCAGTTGAGATGCCAGACGTTGCCTCGCACATCGAATGTACCAGGACCGTCTCCAGTGCTATCGGTATCTCCACCGATACTGTGAGGTGTGTCAGCGACCATTGTGGCAACACAAACTGAAAGAAGTGGACGGACAGGTGGTTGAACGCATTGCTCTCGAGGGATCCGACAGATTTGCTGAACAAACCGGCGCCGATGAGCAGGATGAAGTTGGTCATTACGATGAGGAAAACCGTAAGTGCTGCGCGGTACCAGATGGTTAGTATTACTTTGTATTAGAATCCGCAAGTACTTACCCGCACGACTGGCGAATGTGTAGATAACGAAGCCACAGAAGAGGCCGCATATAATGCCAACGATGGCGGCAATCGGGATGGAGGCCGCCGATTGGCCGAGGGAAACACCTCCGACGAAAACAACAGCTTCCAAGCCCTCACGCAAAACTACAACGAAAGGAAGTGTGAACAATGCCCACTTTCCCGTTTTAGTGCCTCTGGTAGTATCTAGCAGCGCCATATCAACACACGCGCACGAGATCTAACTTTGGATCTTACGTTGACCCTCGAAAGCGTGTTGAAGTTTGACGCGCCACTTAGTCTTCGCGTGGTCCAGTTTGAGCATGGTGATTCCCATGACAAAGATCAAGATAGCGGCGATGAGCTCGAATATTCCTGTGCGTTATATTTAAAACAGTTTAACATTAGGTGTTGCGGAGAGCTCACCCTCCCAAAGATCTTCGGTTTTTTTATAAAGATCCGAAGCTTTGGTGAACCAT